AAATTAGGTTCCTCTGGTTCCTCCTAGTGCTCCTAATGACATTTCGAAGAATCCACCAGGCCTGAATGAAGACAACCAATCCAGAACAAGTCAGAGGAACATGATTTTTGTTCACAGATTATCTTTCTCATGTACTACTGTCAGAACACAGTGAAAAGTTCAGCAATAATGACGAAAAGTATTTTTTTATAAAAGTTACCACTGCAGCTTTAACTGAAACATCAGAAAAAAACAGACTTTGTTAGTGTGACTCACTCTGTGCGTCAAAATGGCCTTCAATTGGAGAATACACAAACTAAAATTTACAGATACCTGCAGGTTTTCTTTTTTTAATGTTTTTTGTGATTGAGTTAAGCTATCCAGAGACAGAACACAAGGTGGAGTCACAGTGAAAATCTCAGTAATATAATTATACATCTATTGTTTCTACATGTGAACAAACTCCTCTGATTCAGAAAAGCCCTGTGTCATTTCCTCTGGTGTCATTTCCTGTGGAGAGCTGTGACATCACTGAGGGTCAACAGTAAAGGAACAAACATACACATACGCATAGTTGTGTGTACAGGATGTCCCACCTCATCCTGAGCTGCTATACACACACCAAAAATATATTTTAATAAATAACAATAAAAACTAGAAACACATTACAGACTATAGAATAAGAATAAATAAAATATAAAGTACAAAGTATGCCCCTTTAACCATATTTCGCATGTATGTTGCATGTATTTTATGCTTTCCGTGTGTCATTTAACATAGTTTGAGATGGCACATTTTATGAGTTTTGGATGTGCAGTTAAAGGATGAAGTCAGGTGACCTTTGTCGTCATGGTAACAATAGTCAGATTGTGAAACAGTTGCAGTTTGGTTAGGTTTAGGAAAACATTATGGTTTGGGTTAAAATAAGTATGTTACTTATGTCACTAACTAACTAAATTAAATATGTTACACAGTAAAGCAAGAAAAACTTTATATTAGTTAACGTTGACTTTTGGTTTCATACGGGACTCTTTACTATGACACCTGATAATTTATTCCTCTTCAACATTCATGCATAAAATGACGTGCTGTCTCTGCCAGGACATCCTTTGTCCCCTAAACAGTGTTTGACAAACACTGATTTTTAAGATGAAACTGCTTTACTAAATGCTTTTACTGGTTTTAATCTGATTGTTTTGGAGGGGAGGAGACCTCTGCAGATAATTCGGCTCCTGGTAGAAATCTTCTGAACAATGAACACTGAAGGAATCCTAACTGGGAGAAGCTGACTCAGTGATAGCAATGGTGGTGAAGACAACAACTCCCATGATCACACACTACTTTATCTGCTGTTACTGTTTTTATGTGAGAGACACCCTGTACATTTAAACCACGATAATGGGCCATCAATAGTTACACTCAGAAGTTCTCAGTATTTGTGCTTATTGCCAGTTGAGGGTTGGAATCCAAACATATCGGACTTTGTCTTGGAAATATTTAAAACCAACTTGTTGCACTCGACCCATTCTGAACGTCTATTAGGGCATCACTTAGAGCGTTGAAGAGGTACCGTTTGCCTAGACATGGCAGCACTGTGCAGAATGGTGTCATCACTATATATAATACATATATCTATATCTATACCGTAGAGCTCCATTGTTGTCCAAAAACTATTAAAAACACATCAATGAGCCACTTTGTTGCACTGTTCCTTTATTACCGTGAACACACACACACACTATAGTTTACTGCCCTAAATACTCACAAGAGCACCAAATGTGGATTAATCAGCAGCATAATGAGGAAATGTTAATTATGAAATGGTGACTGATTAGAGCCTACTTATTTGATTTAGTTATGAAGTGGGTTAGAACGCTGGTCTCTGGTGTCAAAGTTCTGCACAATACAACCAGCCTGACCTCTGACCTCTAACTAGTGTGCAGTACATGACTGTTCATACGGGGTATACGGGGTATGCACGCAGAGTTGGTTGTATCCAAACACACCTTCAGGCTCACTCTCTCCTCTAGAGCACTTTCATGCCCAGGTGAGTTTGAAAACATCAACAGAGGGCTCAGAGGAAATTTGGGGATTTGAGGGCGCTGGAACAACATCAGAGAAATCTTCACCTTCAGGTTAATTTGACTTGTCAGACTGAGCTTTAGGAGCACGATCACATCAACTAGAGCTTTTCTCTTTCTGTTCATCTTTTCTACTTCATGTGATGAAGCTTAATCTCAGATACTTCCTCCTCTGTCCTCATTCAGTCTGAGAAAAAACTAAATCCTGTGGTCCCATTGTAAAAGCAGACTTATCACATGCAGTTTGTCAGTTACCTGATGTGCAGCAGATTTGGAGTTGGTCAGAACGTCCGAAACCTCCTCCTCTGTCTGATATCAACATTTCATATTTAGCAACAAGAAGTTCTGAGATGAGACATGTGCTGTTGAGCAAAGTGAATCAAATGATGTTTATGTTGGATCACTGAGAATCCTCCTTGGATGCTCTCACTCTGTTCGAGAGGATGATGTTTAACTCATTCCAAGGTGATGAATGATTGTAATTTCCTGGAGTTGAGAATGCCTTTAGAAATCCCATAGAGCCTGCTTGAAGTTGTTGCAGCAGAGCACAATAGTTTTTCCAGGTAAGAAAAGTAAGACATAAAGCAACATCATTAGTGTATAATAAACTGAATATAAGAATCATTGTCCCTCCCAATCCAGAAACTGCCATGGCTGGTCAACAGCTAGAAGTGACTGGAAAACTCATGTGTAATGGTTAAAGTAAAAGAAAATCATTAAGGTCTGGAACAAAGAGATATCTCCTGTTTTTAAACCTGGCTGACAGAGTTCTCTAGTACTTTATACATGGAGAAAATAGGATTTGCTAGGAAAAGCAAGTAGGTTTAAACAGATATGGCAGTCCCTCTTTGACTATATGATAGAACTGAGGAGACCCACATGACACATGACTTATACCTTCAGTTAAATATTTGTTTGTTATATACTTTCCAAAACATAATGTAATTGTAATTGTAATTGTAATTGAAGAAGAGACCAATTATTTTTCTTTCTTTTCTGATTTCTTTCTTCTGAAAGGGAGAGGTGGGATGAAGCAGGTGGGATGAATCATTATGATGAGTCTTAAAAAATGTTCTGCGGAGTGCGCCATGTTGAACCACCATGTTTCTACAGTAGCCAAGAAAGGACAAATCAAACACTGGCTCTAGATAGGGCATTTTGTTGCAGTCTCTGTAGTTTCTCCTACACTTTTGGAAGGAGAGCTGTATTAAAATGGTTGCAATCTGCAACTTCACCACTAGAATCCACTAAATCTACTCACTGGTCCTTTAAGTAAAGTAATGCATTACTTCATTATAAACTAACAAGTAATGTCTAATACATTACTTTTTGGAGTAGCGACCGCAACACTGCTAATAACTGAATAAATGAAGCATGAAGTGATTTTTCAAGTGTCTGTAGACTGGGCCTTTTGCGTTTTTGGCAGCCACTGGAGCTTGTCCTACACACTTTGACTTCACCACAACACGCCACTACATCCTACACACTGGTCCTTAAATAATACAAAATCATATCAATAAATACCAACTATTTCTAACTCCTACGGCTATGGACTGATTATGAGACACTCTGCATGCAGACGGCCCCCCACCCCTCCTACATATAGAACAAAGACTGAGTCGGGCCCGTCATCCAGGTTCATAACCACAAAATAACTGCTGGATTGTGTTGAATGTGTCAGACTGAAGAGCTGTAAACTCGATCTTCCTTCTTTCCAACACAAACATCCAGTCATTGCTTTAATTTTGTGCTGTCATTTTGTAAGAGTAGGCGCCACTTTGTTCAAACAGCACTTCTCATTTTGGACCAAGAATCCTCAAATCTGAAGACATCTCGTCTTTATTTGGAGCTCAAAGTGTCACAGTCACACAGCTGTGATCTGTAAAACTGTCACTTCTTAGCTGCTCTGTGTTTTGGTGACGTTCAAGTAAAGAGATCTCTGTTCCAGAGCGAGACCTTGACTCATCCAGAGAG